ACAAGTAATGCAGCCGTCAGGGCAAAATTGGGGATCCAATCCCTACGGTCGGGACAAGACGCGAGGAAGCTGACATGGCAGTATCGCATGTGCGGGATGTGAGGGGAGAGGTTGCCGAGGATTGTATGGGAGGCGAAGTGGGCAAACAAAAAGAGGGGTAGACAACCCACGGAATGGGTCAAGGTTGTAGAGGACGTATGGAAGGGGCTCGACATCGACGAAGATGAAACGCTAGAAACGGAGGGTCTACAGGGGTCCAAGGAGAACATATTTGTAGCTTGTACCGAGAGAGAAGAACACAATCTGAGGAAAGAATCCAACGATAAGGAGGGTCTAGAAGTGTACGGAATGTTGAAGGAAGGAATAGGGTTCAAGGATTACCTACATGGACCAATGGATGCAGGAACAAAGCTTAAGGTCAAATTCAGGACCGGGGACATAAGCCTTCGAGAACGTCGACGAAAACATAGGGCGGTAGAAGACGAAGACGACGAGTTCAAATGTGATTGCGGCTTCGAATGCGAAGACCGTGTTCATCCATTCGCGGAATGTCCGTTGTACAAGAAGGAGAGGGAAGTGTACATGACTGAGCTGGGAAAAATTGATAGGACGTACAGGGACATGTTTGAGGTATCGAATAGAGAGGAAAGGACGGTAGCTGTACTGGGGCATACGAGGTGGGTTGAAAAGGTGGGAAGGGATATGGTTAGGATAGACAGACTAGGGAAGACATTTTTGAGCCGCCTTTGGCAAAGTAGAAAGGAACGATTGGCCATCGGTGATCAATCCTGTGGGAACAATGATCCGCCCTCTCGAGGACGCGTGGTCAATGGTCTAACCGCTAAGGCATGCAAAACATGAGTGGACACCCCCCCCCCCCTGTATTGGTGGTATGAGTGGTGCTCACGACATCGCTTTCATCGTCAGGGATCTGGAGCCTTCGCGGGTTGGTGTGGTGGGACGCTTGCCGGAACACAAGCAACCCCACTCTGAAAATTCCTCCTGCCTTCCGACATTGTTTTTGCCGTTGCAGATCGGTGTGATCCTTCGTGACTCGAATGGCATCGCCCAGGTCAGTGCCATCACCGGCGCCAAGATCCTTAGGGTCCTCAAGGCTAACGGTGAGGAGGGCGAGCTATTACTTGCTTTTAACCTCAGGCCCAAAAAGCTGCTCCATACCATATCGTGCGAGGATTAGTATTGTGATGGTCAGCACGATGGTGCTGTGGTATCCTCTCCGACGGTTTCATCGAGGTTACGCCAACTGGGACAGCTAATACCGCCGCCTCTTGGTGGGATCGCGGTAAGCGTGTCGTGGGCGGTTACTGTATCGCCGTGCCGTTCACGGATCGCAAGGTCAATCTTGTTTACGCGCTGCTTGTATGCGCCCGTACTGTTTAGGCCATACAGTTGCTCACCGCCTGTTCGAGCCCCCGCCTCTTCTGCCCGTTTTCCGCCCTTTGGTTTTGCGGGCCTCGTAGCACCAAAAGCCTTTTCAATGTGTGTCTTCCGTACACGAAACACCTGGGAGTTGTTTGTCGCAGCTTATCCCTCCTTTGCCCTCACTGGACACGCGTTGTTGTTCGCTCTCATTGTTGGCAGGCCTCGCGGCCGAGATCCCCGAAGACCTGTACATGCTCATCAAGAAGGCAGTGGCGGTGCGCAAGCACCTGGAGCGCAACCGCCGCGACAAGGACTCCAAGTTCCGCCTGATCCTCATCGAGTCTCGCATCCACCGCCTGGCTCGTTACTACAGGACGAACAGGAAACTGGCAGCGAACTGGAAGTACCAGTCGGCTTCCGCCAGTGCGCTCGTTGCCTAAAGACCGCCGCGTGATGGCCGAATATGCCTCTCGCCTGATTTGGACACTCCTTTTGCGCTGTTGCGGCACATGACCGGATGGCATTCAGTAGCCCTGCAGCCAATGTTCTGGGGGTTGTGTTTGCTGAGGTCCTGGTGGTAATAGTGGGAAGTCGGCCGCTTGGGATGGATCATGTACCTGTCTGCGATTTGTCAACTGCGGTTGTACTCTCTGAGCTGTTCAAGGGTATTTGCTGCCGTGTTCAGAAGTTGCTTTTCGGAAACCTTTCGGGTATTTTTGTTCTGCTTTTGCTTCTGGTCGATGTAGCCATACGATGTTGTGTCCAGCGGCTACATGGACTTTGCGCAGAGGAGTTTCTAGCAGGGCGAAAAGCAATGGAGAATGTTAAGTGCAAAATATACTTACATGGGAAGAAGACGAGGAATCCAAGCAAGTTTTGATGCTGCTCGCCAGCAACAAAAACGCCTCGGCGATTGCAAGTACACAGCAGTGTTTTTTGTCCTTGCACAATATGCACTTGTTGTTTGCAGCGAAGTCTCCCTCTTGCACCATGCCGTGTGGTCAACCATGACGTGCCGCGTGAGTTATGCGGAGGGAGGTGCTGTTTGTGTACGTGAACCGCCAGGTAACGTGAGTTATGCGGAGGGAGTGCTGTTTAGTAACCTGAACGACCAGGTTGGTGGCTACAAAAAATGTGTCGTGAACGAGGATGTTGTTCCTGGTGTCAACCCCCATACAAATTGACTATGTAGTCACAGCTTTTTGCTCCATCGCGCAAGTCCAATCAACACGGGCCTTTCGGTGTATGAGTATTCATCATCTGTTGTGTGCGTGCGTGTATTGTGTGGTGTTGCCGTCCATTCTGTGTTTTGGGCGACAGCAGTCTAGACTACGCATTTTAGGAAAATGTTGGCGCATTAGCCATGATTACTGCTGTAGTCTACGTAGCAAACTGAGCCTCAATGTTGCTGGTCGACCTTCTCTCTGGGAGTGAACGTTCGAAACTTTTCGCGCGCGGCAAGGAAACATGAACGAAAGCTCAGAGGGAGGAGGAACAAATGTGACCTTGTTGCCACGTAAGGCAAACACCGCACGGGGAAGGTGGAGAATGGAGAAGAACTAGAAGTTTAACGACCGTCCGTTACGCGCTCAACTCAACGATGGATTGTGTTGGTCTCTTGGATCAGGGAGTTTAATTTTTTATTCCCTTGTGACGGCAAGGCAACAACGCAATTTTTGCCCACCCTAAGAAAGAAGCATACCCAATCCTCCTGTTATTGTTTGTCCTTGCCCTGTTGGGCTGTATCCTCCTCTCCACCATGCTCCCCCCAAGCGATTCCCGCTCTGTTGCTGATGGTCCGGGACAACGCCCAAACGGAACAAGTCGAGCCAACTCCCGCATGCATGGACATCATCACCAGTAATTTCCAAGCCAACCCTGCTGCTACTGCGGGTGATGGTATGTGTCAGCGTGTCCCTATCTCGTCCTTCAACAAGTTACGTACGGGAGAGCCTCAACATACCGGAAAGAAGGTCGTTCTTGCGTCTGCCTCTGACCACATCTAGTGCTGCGCCTGTAGATAAGCGTGACCGACAGGGCCAAAAAAAGGGATGGTACACTCCTGCATGCCCACGTGGTGCACCAAGATGCGTGGTTGCACACGTTCGTGGCCGTTGTCACGACGCAATCTGATTGGTCAGAGCCCGCGCCGCTCTATCTCGTGAATGTAGCCAATGGCCCAACCAAGCTCAACAACATGTCAAACGTTCAACTCCGTGCGCCAAATTGTTTTTTTTATTATTATTTCTTTCCCCCTCCGTGAATCTCAGATCCGTCTGTTAGTCACGGCGGATGAAGCGCGTCACACGACAATCACACGCACGCATACCGCGACGCTCCCGCTCTGGGCGCACAACAACCCCTTCACGAACCGCATTCTGTCCACGCGTCACTGAAACAGCAGGAGTTAGAACGCGAGAGAGTGTACTCATCTACGACGCAGCATCCGGCCCAAAGACAAATGACACAGCAGGCAGCAAGGCCCGGCAGGGCCATCGTGCTGCTGTCGGTCGCGGGGCTGGGCGGGCTTTGCGCCTCCTCCATCGCCCCCGCTTCCGACGGCAGCGGGATCGCGAGCCATGGGCCCCGCGGGGGGGCAAACGACGCGGTACGAAGGCAGGATACTTGGAGCCAGGAACGGTGAGTTTTTGACATGTTTTTTTTTTCTCGCGCGTGAACAGCACCAGCAGCTCCGGGCAAAGGGTTTGTGGTGCCTTCGTAGTCAGAGAGAGAGAGAGAGAGAGAGAGAGAGAAGAGAGAGAAAGAGAAAGAGAGAGAGAGTGGCAGGCACGGCGGTTTTTGTTGAGGTCTTGCTAAGGGAGAAGGGGAAGGGGGCAAAGCACGTGAGCGTTCCCAACTTCCCCTCCCCCCGGAGGAGCCGGTGGCCGCGTCCGCTTGGGCTCCGACTTTCTGGTGGTGGGGGTTGACACATCAGTCCCCTTATCCCAGGATGTTCTTCCTGGTGTCACTGAGAAATAGAGCCGGTCAGGGCTAACCGCACTTCGGGTCCACTAGTTGCCCCCTTCCCGCCCGTCAAATTTTAAGGGAGACTTGCCTCCTTGCTGGGCGTCTTGCTGTGGTGGTCAGGACACGCGCAAGCCTTTCGGTGCACAGCAGTAGCGGCAGGTCGATTGTTTTTGCTAACAGCAGCAACAGCAGTAGTGCAACATTGAGTGCTTATGTGCAGACCGAAATCTCCCGCAGCACACTCCTCTATTCGAGGCGAGTAGGAAGCAGTGCACGTGGGCCATCTGCCTGCTGGCTAATTCAACGAATGACACAGGAAGATCCGAGTGCTAAACCACCCGACCCGTGTTCCACGCCACCTCCCCCCC